TAGCCCATGAGTAGGTCTTTGTGGTCAGGTGACTATAGGAAGGGATTATTGAGATTATTTATGGTTTTTTTTGGTTGAGATTGTTATAAAGTACAGTATCAGAGTAATTATAGTTTTGTGCATGAGGGTGGGTATTTTTAAAAAATTTTTTGTCTTTTTTGAGACAGTTTCACAATGCAGTTCAGGGTCCCCATAAACTCACTTTGTAGACCAGGATGGCCTCGAACTTGCAGCAGTCCTCCTGCCTCAGCCTCCTGAGTGCTGGAATTACAGATGTGTGCCGCCACACCTGGCCTCATTTTTTTTTGAAACAGGGTCTTGCTCTGTTGCCCACACTGGCCTTGAATTCCTGTGCCCAAATGATCCTAGTGCTTCAGTCTGCCAAAGTGCTAGGACAACAGATGTGCATGGCCACAACGGGCCCTTTGTTTTTTGAGACAAAGTCTCCCTGTGTAGCCCAGACTGGCCTTGAACTCACAACCATCCTCTTGCGTTGGCCTCCCGAGAGCTGGGATTACAGGTGTGCTCCACCATGCCTGGCTCACATGTGACTCCTTGATTCCTGATGATCTGTCTGTAGTATTAAAATGACTAATGTGTAGGTTCCATAAAACTAGAACCCATAAAACTTCACAAGAAATTGCAAGTTCTGGAGCCAGGGATTGCTCAGTGGATCAAGTGGCTGCCTCATAAGCACAAGTTCATGAGGTTGGTCCCTGGTATAAAAAAAAAAAGTATAGATCGCAAGTTCTTTCCCATGGTTTCCAAACCCCTGCATAACCTGCCCCTGCCTTTCTCACCCGATCCATCCTGCGCTGCGCTCCAGCCACATGCAGCAGAGCTGGAGGCGATGATTGAGGGAAAGGCTGGATGGCCTCTTTGGAGGTGGTTGTCAGGCAACAGAGAGCGAGGCAGCTTAAGGTCAAGCGCTGGCGTCTGGGTGCCAGATGACTGACTTCGAGTCCTGGCTGAGCTGCCTATGACTTTGAATCAGTCACAGATCCTCTGTGAGCCTCAGTTTCCTCATCTGTGGAGTGTTTTTCTTTCCCACCCCGACCTCACGATGAAATGGCGATTATATATCTATATTGCAGGATTGTTTTAATGGTAAAGTTGAGAATTAAGCCAGGCATGGTGGCGCACTGAAGTCAGAGTGTGGAAACCCCGCCCCGCACATCCAGGAGGTGCCACCCTTCAGGAAATAAGCAACTGAACATATTTGAGGGATTTGAAGCCAGGGTGGATGTGACCAGTTCAGTAACCCGAGCCCCTCAGGAGAACAGTGACACAGCTGTGCTGAACAAAACCGCCTGGCCCGGGGACTCTTTAATCCTGCTTCATAGCTGAACATCACACGGTAATGCGTTTTCCTAACCATTGCTGCTTTTTCAAAAATAAAACTCTGTGGCAGCCACTCAGCATATTGGTGGTCCCACAAGAAGTCTAGAAAGTAGGAGGAAATCATTTTGGGGAGCTCAGGTAACTTGGTCAGGAGCCATGGTTAGCACGGTAGAGTTGAGGATTGGAACTCAGGTTGTCACCAAGCCCACCACTAGGGCAACCTTAGAGGCCGCCTGTGTGCTGCGTGGGGCAGAGGCGTGGCAGGACATCTAAGGGGGAGCCCTTCACACCAGCACCCCCACTTAGCATGTCTGTCCTGCCCAGGGAATATCACTGGGACACTCCAGAAGGCCTTCTTTCTGCTGTTGAGGAGGGGAAGGTTGGCTTATATCGTTATTATTTAACTTGCCTTCCAGTGTTTTAAATTGCTGTCAGACTAGCCAGCGTAGGATGGGTCCTTTGCAAAATTAGGATACCTGTAAGTCATTTTCATTATGAAAATGGACCATACGTGTTACAAACCCTCAGGTAGGAAACGAGGCCTCCTGCACATCTTTGTCTCCAAGCATAGCCCTCTGAATGCGTTCAAAACAGAGTCAGATGGTGTTATGGATTAAAAACTGGTAGTCAATTTAACACCAGCTGAATTAACTCAGCATGGTGCTGAGTGTAGATGGCCCACCTGAGGAAAGTTGCCAGCATCAAAGGAGATTTGTGGAGAAGAAGAGCACGGCATTGTTGTGGGTTCTCCTAAATGTTGTTGCTTGGCATGCTGGCTTCCCTGATATGAATTCAGTCATTATCATCAGAGGAGCTTGGAACCTTGTTGCTGAGAGTGGCTGTAGTTCACTTTGGGGGAGATCTGCTCCTTACATTAAGTATTGCGTCCTGGCTCCAGAGGGACGCAATCTCCAGGACAAGTTGTCATGCTGACTTCCTGTTATGTACTCGACTGTTATTATCGTTGGAGGAGCTGGGGACCTCATTGTTGCTGAGGACGGCTGTGATACTTTTCAGGGGAGCCCTGGTCCTTATTTTGAGCTTCATTTCTTGGCTCCAGTGTAGACTTTCTAGCTTCTACCACTCACCTTTGGGCCTTCCCAGCAGATCCATAAGACAGACTTGCATGAGTCCTTGTTTGTGGGCTCTTAGACCTCCAGCTGGACTTGTGGGAGGCACTGTCATGGGCTCTAGGTCTTCAGCTGGATTCATGTGGGACATTATGGTGGGACTCAGGCCTTCGGCTGTATTTTCTAGGTCTTTAGGGGTGGGTAGATTTCCTGTACTTAACTCTGGGTGACCATTATAAAATAGCATTATAAATTCTGTGTCCTGTATGTAATTTTTCTCCTTGTAACCCCTGACTACAGCAGATGGTCTTTTAATTATTCTTACCAAGGGCTCTCGCATGTGTTACTAAAATGGCTAGCAAGCCTTTCTCAGGTTTCTGAATGAAAATCTGGGTTAACCTTTTTAGTTTTGTTTTTGTTTTTTGTACTGGGGATTGAACTCAGGACCACAAGCTTACCAGGCAGGCACTTAAGCCACTGAGCTAAATCCCCAGCTGGGTTAACCTTAAATTAAGTAATTACTTGAGTTTTCAACAAGCTTTCATTGAATATCATCTGTGTGCTGAGGCTGCTCATCCAGGATGGGCAGAGCTGCTTCTGGCCCTGGGAACGCACTCCTGTACTGCACACTCCTCTGGGAGCCAGTGGTGCAGTGGTGATCCCCACCATGAACAATACGGGGTGGGGGGTGGGGAGATCAGCACCGTTAGCACTGTTTAAAAACTATTCAAGTGGGCATGGTGGTGTAAGCCGGTCATCCCAGCACTCAGGAGGCCAAGGCAGGATTGCCACAAGTTCAAGGCCAGCCTGAACTGTGTGGCAGGACTGTCTTGAAAACACCAAAAAACAAAAACAGACAAAAAAAATCCCTTTTAAAATGTCACACAGATGGCACATATATAATTACTCATCAAAGAAGTCATGTATTGTAAAGTAAGAGCACTTCACAGGAGACTGGACTCAGGCTGACAGAGTTGGGAGCAGCACAGCCCCTCCAGCAGCTGCCTGCAGAGCACACTGTTTGTTTCATTTTGATGCTAAGAGCTCCCTGGGTGGTATTTGCAAAAAAGTTCCGTGTGGCTAGGGTATGTGCCAGGTCAGTTAGTCAGCAATTCTGCTGCTTCAAAAATTGGCTTGTATTCTATTACACCAGTACATTTTCAAAATGGAAGGAATTTACAGTGTAAAAGCATTTGCTATACAGAGGAGACTCTAGGGTGGGACTAGAACACAGGCCTCCTCACACCACCTGTGCTTTTGTCCATTGCACCCCTGAATTGCGTTTCAGGACACCAAGTGCATAGTCATTAATCTTGTATGAACTCTTCCCACACCCACCTTCATTTCTTTATATTTTCATCTTTTGAGACAAGGCCTCACTATGCTGTTCAGGCTGGCCTTTAGCTTACTTTGTAGCCCAGGCTGTTCTTGAGTTTGCAATGATCTTCCTGCCTCAGCCTCCCCAGTGCTGGGATTACAGGAGTGTGCCACCACGCCCAGTCAAACCAAGATTTTATTCATGCTAAGTAAACACTCCATCACTGAGCCACAGCACCGCCTTTGAAAGAGTCTTTCATCCAGGATTGATTTATTATTATTTGTCCTTTTGAGACAGGGTCTACCTATGTAGTTCAGGCTGGCCTCAAGCTTACTGTGTAGTCCAAATTGGCCTTGAACTTGTGATCCTCCTGCCTCAGCCTCTCAAGTGTTGGGATTATGGGCATGCACCACTCTTTTAGTAATAATAGTAAGATTATCGTTAGAATTACAATTCAGGGGCCTGGGATATAGCTCAGCAGCTCAGTGCCTGACTGGCAAGAACCAGGTTCTGAATTGGATTCCCATCCCCACCCAAAATCTCCTATAATTAGGATTCAGTGGGCCTAGGATGAGGGTAAGTGGTTTTGAGGTCGGTGTGGACAATTTTTATTCAAGCCCTCCTGCTAATGCGCAGGTCACCAGATGAAAAAGCCATTTATTCAAATATTTGCTGCCTTTGCACTAGGCACTGTTGTGTGAAGGCCATGTTTGCCTCAGAGAGGCATTTGACTTCTGACAAACGCCTCTCTCTCTGAGCCTCAGTTCCTCGACCTATTCAGAAGTGTTCACCTACAAGCCAACCTAGACTTCTTATATTCAAATTCCGTTTTCAGTTCTCTTTTAAGCCGGACCACTTGCAAGTTTATTTACTCTCCGCAACCTCAGTTTGCTCGTCTGCAAAATAGAGACAATCGGACGCGTTTCCCTGCGTTCCTTGCACTGAGGCCGAAATTCAGGCAATCGGAACACCGGCCGGTAGGGCAGGCAACCTCTGCGGGGACTGCCGGTCCCACGGCTGCCCGCTGACCCCGAGAGCCAGGCACAAGCCGGGCCGGCGCCAGCTGTGGACGGGCGCGGACCCGGGGGCGGGGGCGGCGGGCTTTATAAGGCGGGTCGAGCTCCGGGCACCGAGGGGCGGGGCGGCGCCGCCGTGCGGCCGCCTGCAGGCCGGGCTCGGGCGCGCGCCGGGGTGGGGACCCGGCGCCTGGGGGCGGAGCCTGCGCCCGCCCGCCCCGCACTCCGCGCCCCGCGCCCGCCGAGCCCGGAAGGCGGCACTCGCGCTTCCGTCTCCGCCGGGCCGCACGGAGGGCGGAGCTGCGGCCCGAGGACGCGACGCGAGCCCAGTTCCGGCGAGGAGGCCGCGCCAGTGACAGCGATGGCGGCGGAGTCGGCGCTCCAGGTGGTGGAGAAGCTGCAGGCGCGCCTGGCCGCCAACCCGGACCCCAAGAAGGTGAGCGGCCGGCGGGCGGCGGGCGTTGGGCGCGGCGGGCCCTAACGGCCGCGGGCGGGGACCCGGGCGGGCCCGGCGGAGCGCGGCGGCCGCCAAGTGCGGCCCGGGCCGGCTCGCACGGGCGCCCGCGGCCCCGCCAGCTGCCTTCGGGGGCGGCGCCGGCAGGCCGGGCGGGCGCGGGGCCTGGAGCCCGAGGGCGGCTCCGCGCTCCCGCCGGGCGCTCCCGGGACCCTCTCCGCGCAGCTGCGCTCGGGTGGCGGCCGGAGCTGCGTCCGGGGACCTTCCGGCCCGGCCCGGCCCGGCCGCGGCGCCCCCTCCGGGAGCCCTGCAAACTCCGGGGCGCCCCTTCCTCCCCGCCCCCCGGCAGTCTCGGGAGTCCGGCGGGGGTTAGAACTGTTCCACCGCCGTGCGGGGAGGAACCGTCCCTCCGGGGCGCGCACTCCGCAGAGGCGAGTTGAGCTCGGGTCCTGCAAGACGAGGCAGCCGCGGGGCCCGAAGCTGGAGGGAAAGTGATGAAATTTGGGTTCCGATCCAGTTACCAGCTGTGGACACTGGGCGGGGCAGGGGGGGGATCTCTGCTGACCCTGGCGGCTCTTCCGCTTCTTCCTGGGACTGACTTAAAAGACTGAAGTTCCAGCGGGACAGCAGTGCTCTGCAAGCTTAACAGTTTTTCCAGAATTTTTCTTGGAGGGCCCCCTTTGCTTTACTTGTTTCTAGCCTGACAGAGGGCGGTTTCGCTGTTTCCAAAAGTTGCACGCAGCCTCTCACTGTCAGGCTGCTTCTTAACTCTACTCATTCATATCTGGCTCTGAGATCCACTTCTTCAGGAAGCCACGTTATCAATCTGTGAACATTTACACGTTTCCGAGTTGTGACCTCTTCTTTCTGCTTGTCTGCCTGCCTGCCTATTTTCTGTCTAGGCTCTGGTACCTAGTGGTCAGACATATTTGCAAGTTTCTTTTTACAATAACTCTTTGTAGACAACTGATAAATGGTCATTATTTCTGAGTACTAGTTTGTTTTCCTGAACACTGTAGGATTTGTAATTGACTTTTAAAACCTTAAAAGGAGTTTTATGTAGTCACCCTCATTTGGTCTTTATTCCTACTAGATTTTTTAAATGCTCTGTATCTATGGTTATTTGTTCACAAGGATTTAAATGCTGAAGTAGCTTTTCTAGTAGTTGTTATGTGTGAAATACCAAGTCAGGAAAAGGTTTAAGTAGACTTGCCTGAATTATTAGTGATTTTTTAAAAAGCATCGTTGCTTTCTCTTTCCAGGTAGGAAATTATCCTAGGGCTGGGAAGTATAGTTCAATGGAGCAGTGCTGTCCTACCGTGCTTGAAACCCTAGGTTCGGTCCCTAGCACCATGAAAAAGAAAATTACCATGAATTTCTGGCTTTGTGTTGTGAAATGACCATTATGAAGAGGAGAAAATGTTGGTAGATCATTTTTTGCAAAGGGCGTGCTAGTTGACATTCAGAGTGAGCTAACTGCAGAGAGAAAATTGCAAGCTGGCACACTGGCCGCCTCCCTTTCAACCTTCTGTTAACCCAACAAGCTCTCACAGGTTGTTTCTGAAATTGCAAGATGATTACAGAGCAGTATTGAATTTGCAGTGAAATCTTGTTTTCAAACCATTATTACCCCGAAGTTGGCTTCCACACCTGTGTTCATGAACCTTCTGCTATGAAGCATTAGAGTTGACACTTCTCACTTTAAGTTCATCAGTCTTGGGGGAGGACGGTATCAGGCAGACCAGGGCCACTTGGTTTCTTCATGAACTGGAAATGATTCTCAGACAGAGTTAGCTGCTTTGTTTTTGTTTTTGTTTTGTCTTTGTTTTTTTTTTGTTTTTTGTTTTTTTGTCTTTTCGAGACAGGGTCTCACTATGCAGTTCAGGCTGGCCTTCAGTTCACTTTGTAGCCCTGCCTGGTCTCAAACCTGCAACAGTACTCCTGCCTCAGACTCCCCAGTGCTGAGATTACTGGCATGAGCCACCACCGACCTTTCTGTGTTGCATTTTGAATGGGAAAACTACCAAGAACACAGATTGACAGATAGAAAACTAGAGATCAGCATTGAGAACTTCTTTTTGGATTCAAATAGTGTGCAGGAGACTACCAAGGTTTCTAAGCATGTACGATATTACTTAGTGGTCTGTCCATTCCACTACCTAGGTTTGCCTTGTTACTGCTTCAGACTTTCTTAGAATTTACTGAAAATAGTGCTGGAGTACAGTCTTTCTCTTCTGTTAGGCTAAGTCAGGTTGAAAGTCTTGAAGGTAAGCCATTTGTGAACCTGAAGCGGAGAGGCAGCATTTACTTTTCCCGTTATGCTAGGCTTTAATATAAACACACCCCGGGTGACTTCTGGCCCCAGCCTTCCGTGTTGGCCGTGTAGAGGTCCTGGGACTTTTTGTCCCCTTGGTCATCTCCTTTACCATATGAACTTTAAACTGACAACAAAGTCAGAGGAAGAGAAGCTCCTCTGCCTCGTCCCAAGGATGCTGTGAAGTGGGTATTTGAGTTGTTGCTTTATTTTCTTTCCCTAAGTTAGGAGAGTGTTAGTTATGCTGGCTGCATCTCAGCTTGCTAGATGAGCTATGCAGCCTCACTGGGGGTCAGTTTTAGTATCTAAAACAGGGAGAGTAAGACCCACTTTAGATTAAGGGTCAAATGAGGTAACACATGGAAGGACTCTGCGTAGTGACCGGCACGCAGGAGGGTATGTGAATGTCCCCCACCAGTACCCTCCAGGAACTCACATTAGGGGGAAACCACCTATTTTATATCTTTTCAGTAATTCTGAGTTTTCCTTTAAGGAAGGGAATTGGCATGAATCTTTACAGCCCCTAGCATAGGTGACAAATGCATGTAAACCTTTTGTCTGAGTTGGATGATGGTGGGGATGACATTTGAAGTGGAAGATGGTTTTCAGTCAACATGAAGTTTCACCCTCTCTGGATATAGCGATTGGCCTCTTGTTCCCAAGCAAGATTTTTATCTGTGATCCAATTGCTCTGCCTGGCAACCATGTTGAGTAATTATGGAAGTAAAATGCGCAGAAACCCATCTTGTTACTCCACTTATTAGCAGTGTGGCGTGTCAATGAGAGCATAGGTTATAGTTGGAGACATAAAGGTCTTGTCTAATATTTAAATGGAGAGATAGCACAATTATCTTTTTTTGTGTGTGTGTGTGTCTTTTTTGGGTCTCGCTATGCAGTTCAGGCCGGCCTTGAGCTCACTTTGTAGCCCAGGCTGGTCTCAAACTCGCAATGATCCTCCCACCTCAGCTGCCCCGAGTGCTGGGATTACAGGCGGGAGCCACCAGGCCTGGCTACAGTTATCTTTTTTGAACTGCTTATACATTGTAGCACTCTTTGTAGGGTTTGTATTATATGCATAGGAACATTTCCTAGACAAAGACTTAGCCAGTCAGGGCGTAGGGTAGAAATAGAGTTAAGAGGGAAATGACTGGACAATACTGGGTTGAGAATCAAGGGTAGAACGTTTAAAGAGGTGTCAGCTGGTGAGTAAAAGGGTTAACAGTAAGCGTGTGTTGCAGACACTGTGCTGCACCTGGTTGTCTCAGTGAATCCTCAGGCTGGGGAAGCAGAGACAGGATCCAGGTCCCTGTTTTGCAGACGAAGTGATTAAGGGTCACAGAGGTTACTGACGTCATGACACTGGATGACCCGGCAAGCAGGTAGCGGCCTCGCTGAAGCCTGTCTCTGACTCCGGAACTCTTATCTTAAAGCTGCTGTACCAATTTTGACCTAGTTTTAGGGACTATAGAAAGGAAATGTGGGCAAACCCAGATCTCTTTTCTAATCTGCCCAGGCCTATTGTGCTCACTAAGAGTCAAGTGCTGGTTCTGGCAGTCATGTTATTCTCACTTGTGTTTAAAAGCACTGTGTTAAACATTGTATCCCTTCTGGAAGCATGGTACTGTCTCCAGCACAGGGCTCTTCCTTCTATTTTCCTGTGTCATTTCGGTGGGTTATTTCCCTAAAGTTAGCAGCTTTTCTCATGAATACTCCGTCAAAACTGGGACTGAGCTGGGGATGGTGGCACACGCCTGTAATCCCAGCATTTCGGAGGCTGAGACAGCAGGACTGCCATGAGGTCAAGGCCAGCCTGAACTGCATAGCAAGGCTCTGTCTCAAAAGAGAGCAAAACACCAGAAAACTAAAACAAAACAAAACAACCCCCCCAAAAAAACTGGGGGCTGCTAGCTGTTGATGACTTATCAACATTAGTAGGCTTTGATTTGCTTCTCTGTGGCTTGCTTCCCTTTGTTATAGAACAGCAGTCAAAAGCATGGATCTAAACCACAGACTCAAATGAGGCCGGCCCTGCCTTATTCCTGGGGCAGGTAGCATGACTTTTCTGAGCCTGTTCTCACACTTGTGAAATAGATAATAATCGGATTCGTTACTGTGAAATGTGAAGCGCTGAGTAAGCATTTAACCATCAGATACCCCGCCTGTTCCAGAGACTGTGACTTCACAGAAATTAATGTCCATTTTATTCTTTCTGCAGCTTTTGAAATATTTGAAGAAACTCTCCACCTTACCTATTACAGTAGACATTCTTGCGGTAAGAGTTTTCTTTTTTTCTTTTTGTGGTTTCTTGAAACAGGGTCTCGCTATATAGTTCAGGCTGGCCTTGACTCATTTTGTAGCCCAGGCTGGTCTTGAACTTTTAGTGATCCTGCGGCCTTACCCTCCCAAGTGCTGGGATTACAAGCCTGTGCCACCACGCCTGGCTAAGAATTGTATATTTTTATCATTTCTCTTTCTCACTGGAATGTATATAAGAAGCTTTAGAAGATGGGCTTTGGAAAGGAAAGAAATGAGATCCAAACACTACATGTCATACGACTTTTTTATATGAAATCTCCAGAACAAGCAAATCTAGAAACAGAGAGTAGATGAGTGGTTGCCAGGGACTGGGGGAATCGGGAGAAACAGGGCGAGTTTAGGATGGTGGAGATAATCTGGAATTAGATTATGGTCATGGTTGTGCAATATTAGTGTTGTGGAAACCACAGAATTACATACTTTAAATGGCTAAAATGGCAAATTTAACTGGGTGTGGTGATGCATGCCTCTAATTCCTGCATTGGGAGGCTGAGGCAGGAAGATCACAGTGAGTTCCAGACCAGCTTGGGCTACAGCATTCAAGGCTGTCCTGAACTACAATAGTGAGTCTCTGTCTCAAAAAACGAACAAACATAAGTATGGCAAATTCAATGTTACAAGATTTTTTTTTTCTTTTTGGGAGGCGGGTTTGCTAGGGAATAAAACCACAGCATTGCACATGCAAGGTGAGTGGTCTCCTTCTGAGCTGTATCCTAACTCCTATTATATGATTTTCAAAATGAAGATGAATGTTGGCTTCAGTGTCTGCTCACCCGGAGTTCAAATCTAAGTTGTGGTTTTCTTCTGTGTCTCTCTAAACTGAGGCTGATTCCTGCCTCAAGGGTGTAAAGACTGGAATACTGTATGCAAAGCCTTTAGCTCAATGCCTGTGGTCCTCCAGAATCACTCTTGTGTACTATTATGAAAGTTCTGACAGTGTCTGGATACAGTGTTCTCTAACCTTTTCTCGGGTGTTATTGTGTGTCAGGTAGTCATTTAGGAACAGGCTACAAAGTAACATAGTAATGAGTATTGTGTGTATGTTTTAGCAAGTGTTCCTGTTTTGAATTTCTTAAATCCAGGGGCTTGTTTCCCAAACCTGAGCCTTGTTCAGTAATCCCCTATTGCTTGCTCTGTCACATTCGTAGGAGACCGGGGTCGGGAAAACGGTGAACAGCTTCCGAAAGCACGAGCAAGTTGGGAGCTTCGCCAGGGACCTTGTGGCCCAGTGGAAGAAGCTGGTGCCTGTGGAACGGTAAGAATGTTTAAGTATTTTTGGCTTCTTCACCTTCTTATCTAAAATACCTATTTTACATCATTATAAAATAACTTGTTGTCACTATAGAATATTATAAACTATTTAAAAATAGAGAAAATAAAAATTTCTATCATTTAAGGATAAGCACTATTAATAGGCATATGTCTTTTTTTTTTTTTTTTGTGGGTTTTTGAGACAGGGTCTTGCTATGTAGTTCAGGCTTACCTTGAACTCACTATGTCACCGAGGCTGGCCTCAAACTTGTGGCAGTTCTCCAGCCTCAGCCTCCTGAGTATTGGGATTACGGGTGTGCACGACCACACCTAGCAGTTTGGGATGTTTCTAACTGCTTTTTGTTTTGGTTCTGGTTTTGGAGATCAAACATAGGGTCTCATTAATAAGTATATGCTTTATCACTGATCTATATCCTTAGTCTTTCAAGCTTCTTAAAAGGCATTTTTTTAGACCCCTTTTAGAGTACAAAAGTACACATCCCTGTGTTGAAAAAAGAATCTGTGAACATTTTCATGTTTCATGTCCACAAGATTTGTGTGTGTGTGTGTGTGTGTGTGTGTGTGTGTGTGTGTGTGTGAGTGATAACTAGGGAATGAACCCAGGACCGTTATGCTTTAATGTTGGTGCAGAGTCTTACTAAGTGACCCAGGTTGTACTTGAACTTGCTGTTTTTCTATGCTTCCCAAATGCTGAGATTACAGGTGGACATTACCGTGCCTGGCTGAACTCCCCAGTTCTTTTTTCTTTTTATTAGTACATGGTTGTGGTATGTAATGATTGCAGTCATCCTGAGGAGGCAGCACATGGCATTTCCCCAAGGTTTAAACTTAATTGGAAAAAAAAATTAACTTAGCCGAGTACTTTAAGCATAACCTGCTGACTTTCTTACTGTGCTGTTGTTGTTTGTGACCCTGGATCTTCATCTTTCTTTGTGAGTTCAAGAAATCACAAAGTCACATCCTTGTGACTCTGAGCAAGGATTACGCTGTTACGCTGAGATTTATACCTGCTTTTTCAGAAACAATGAGGCTGAGGAACAGGACTTTGAGAGGAGCAATTCAAGAAAGCGTCCCCGGGAAGCTCTTCAGAGGGAGGAGGAGGTGGAAGGGGACTACCAGGAACACTGGAAGGCTTCCGGCAGCCGATCCTATAGCCCCGAGCACAGACAGAAAAAACACAAAAAGCTCTCAGAGCTGGAAAGACCTCACAAAGTGTCTCACAGTCATGAGAGGAGAGAAGAGAGAAAGAGGTGTCTCAGAGCATCACCAGCATACTCTTCGGACCCCGAGTCTTCTGACTATGGCCATGTCCAGTCCCCTCCCCCCTCCAGCAGTCCTCATCAGATGTACACAGACCATTACAGGTCCCCAGAGGAGGACCCCGAGCCCACCATCCCTCACCACAAGCCTGGGAAAGGCCACAGTAATGCCTTTCAGGACAGACTGGGGGTCAGCCAAGAGCGGCACCTGGGTGAAGCCCAGGGGAAGGGGACTGTGAACCCCAACAAGGAGCACAAATCTTCCCACAAGGAGAAACGCTCCGGGGAAGCCAGGAGTGAGGAGAAGTCCTCTTCGGGCAGAGAAAAACCGCACAAGTCCCTTTCCAGAGAGGAAAGCAGAAGGCCGCCGTCCGGGGACAGCGCCAAGGAGAAAGTGCCCTCGGCTGCCACCAAGAAAGAGAAGGACAGAGAAGGCAGCAGCCTCAAGAAGAAGTGTTTACCCTCCGTGGAGGCTGCCTCGGACAACCACCGTAAAAAGTCAAAGCACAAGGACTCTGAGAAAAGCCAGCCAGACAGAAGCAAACCAAGTGTGGATGGCTCAGCCGCGGGCAAAGGGGCGGGAGACGCGGCCAGAGCCAGGGAGAAGGTTCCTAACCACCTCAGGGCTCAAGAAGGGAGAGTAAAAACCGGCCACCCAGAGCGGAAGTCCCTGGGCTCGCTCCCGAAAGTGGAGGAGACGGACCTGGATGACGAATTTGAGCAGCCCACCATGTCGTTCGAATCGTACCTCAGCTATGACCAGCCCCGCAAGAAAAAGAAGAAGGTTGTGAAAACTTCCACCCCAGCACCTGGGGAAAAAGGACTTAAAAAAAGCGACTCCAAAAGCACTAGTAAAAACTTGGACTCAGTTCAGAAACTGCCCAAGGTGAATGAAAACAAACCCGAGAAGCCGCAGCCAACCGGAGCCGATTCAGCCAGGCTGAGAAAGGTAACCCTTTAGGCTCTGCCGGCTCCCCACTCCGCGCCAGGGCCCGCCTGCCGCCCCGCTCGGCTCGTTTGTTTGTGGCTGTTGAATTTCAGCTTGTAGTAATTTCCTCCTGGTCTGACAGAACTTTTCCGAGGAGTCCCATTGTGTCGGGCCCAGCTGTAGGTATTTCCTGACTCTGGTGGTGTCTTTGGTGACCCTGATCTGCCTGGCAAGTGTGCCGTGTTGGTGCCCGAGGAACTGACTGTCGGGAGCGCTGTGCCGCAGCTGGGCCCTCCGTCACTGTCTCTCCTCTGCAGGTCCCCGCGGAAGCATTGCCAGTGTTGCCAGACCTCCCGCTATCCACAATCCAGGCCAATTACCGCCCTCTTCCTTCCCTGGAATTCATGTCCTCTTCCCAGCCGAAGCGAAAAGGTACCGTTCGGTGTTTTTTTTTTTCTTAACAGGAAAAAGATTTTAAAATGTCACTCAGGATCCGTTACCATGACACCATTACTGGGTGCAGCTCCTAAGAGTGTGGGCTCTGGAGTTTGATGGCCCTGCATAATTTTTTTTTCTTTTTGTGCTGGGATTGAATGCAGGGCTTTGCAGATGCCAGCAAGTGCTCTACCACTGAGCTACATCCCCAGCCCCAACTTTGGATGGTATTTTAATCTTTGTAGTATTGTTCCACGTTCTGTAAATGGGAGTAATGATGCTGTTTACTTCATAGGGTTGTGAAGCAGTTTCAAAAGTGATAATGCCAAAAAAAAAAAAAAGTGATAATGCCAGGAATGCTTTTAGCACCAGGTTTTTTCACGTGGTAAGTGTTCAGTAAATTTTAGCTGCTGCTGTTATTAGTAACTTTTTATTGTGAATTCTGTATGTGATTTTTATCTTTTAAGAAAAGTCTAGAGCTGGGGATTTGGCTAGCAGCACAAGTGCCTACCTGGCAAGCACAAGGTCATGTGTTTGATCCCCAGAACCAAAAAAAAGGAGGAAAGAAAAGTCTAGTTTCGTGTTTTTGTGGTGAGGTAGAGTCTCACTGTATGCAAGTTCAGGATTGCCTTGAACTCAACGATGCTTAGGCTTCAGCCTCTTGAGAAGTGGGATTAGGTGTGCACCACCGCAATTGGCAAAAATGTCTCAAAACTAGGGAGACTAACAGGTAAAGTGTGGCTTATCCACACAGTAGTGTCTTCTACCACTGTGAACATACGCACAGTACTCAAGAACAGGCGTGGCACATTTTCTGAAATGTGCAGAATGGCCAGGGATGGCGGTGCACACCTGTAATCCCAGCACTCTGTGCAACTGAGGCAGAAGGTCCCAGGTTTGAGCCCAGCGAGTCTCTGTGTCAAAAAACAGTGGGGATGTAATTCAGTGTGAAGTCTTTGGATTCAACGCTCAATACTGACCTCCCTGCCAGAAAAATGAATGAACAAATGATGCATGTGGTATGTCATAACTGGTTACAAATGGAGTAAGATACACATTGGCTTATGCTGCAGTCCCCAAAAGCAGCCAGGGGACACGGGCAGCATTGTCTGTCTTGGAGAAGGAGAGCGGTGGAGGCTGAGGACAGGGGTGGAAGGAGATTTTCACTCTCTGGCCTCGGGCCTTTTGTGATATCCTTTTGGGTCTTTCTTGCCCTGTAGCATTCTCTTCGCTCCAGGAAGAAGAAGAAGCTGGATTCACCGGGCGCAGAATGAACTCCAAGATGCAGGTGTACTCTGGTTCCAAGTGTGCCTATCTCCCCAAAATGATGACTCTGCATCAGCAGTGCATCCGTGTGCTCAAAAACAACATCGATTGTAAGTCGCCATGTCACGCTGGGCCCTTACTGCTCCGGGGTTTGGCTGCTATCAGTGCTCTCACCTTTGATTTCTCTGCAGCCATCTTTGAAGTGGGAGGAGTCCCTTATTCTCTTCTTGAACCCGTTCTGGAGAGGTGTACACCAGAGCAGCTGTATCGCATAGAGGAATACAATCATGTGAGTGTCCTGTGTAGATTTGGCTTGTGTCTGAAGAAGGAGCCTTGTCTCTGTGGCTCTGCTGTGACTGAAGGGTAGATCCGTGGTCAGGTCACTGTTCGGTGCATGTTGGGTCTGCTTCTGCCTCTGGGCCTTTAAACAAGCATGTTTTTAGCGCCTGCTTCTGGTATCTGGGTGGGATTCAAATAAAGTGGAAACTACTTCAGCACCTCCTTTGAGCTTGTCTGGTCATGAAGAGAGGATTCTGGCAATGGACACCTGGGACCCAGGGGGAGTTGTGCTCGGTGTTGGTACTGGGGCATGTGGTGAACATAGAAGACCACAGATTGGCCATGTGTGTGGATGAATGCCTATAATCCTAACACGCTGGGAGGCTGAGGCAGGACAATTTGAGCCCAGCTTGGGCAACTTAGCAACTTAGTGAGACCCTGTCTCAGAATAAAGCAGGAGAGAGCCTGGGGGTGTAGCCTAGTGCAGAGGCCCGGGTTCCATCCCCAGAATGAGCAGTGGCAGTAGAGGCTGTCTCCTAGAGTCATCTGCGCCTTCCAGGATTCAGCCTCTCTGTGATGCAGTTACACTCATCTGGTTGCATTAGCTGTCTCTCTTGGGTTTTGAGACTTTTGCAACATACAATCCTTCCGTGGCCCCCTTGCCATGACTGTTCATTGGAGTGGCAGGGAAACACTTGATTTGAAGTCTCAGCTCTGCCCTGTGCTGATTTCCTATAGGAAGACCTAGTTTTTGTGTTATCCTCAGCGCCACCCAAAAACTACTAGCAGAGTGTTTCACATGTAAGATTATTTTAAAATTTATTGACTTTTTTTTCCTTAGAACTGAGATTTTAATATAATACTACTGCATGGACCAAAAAAAAAAAAAAAAAAAAGTTAAGAAAGTGGTAACTCCTAGATGCAAAAGAGATATAAGAGTGTTTATATGTAAGCAATGCCCTGGTCCTGGTTTCAGGTTTTAATTGAAGACACCGATCAGTTATGGAAAGTTCATTGTCACCGAGACTTTAAGGAAGAAAGACCAGAAGAGTACGAGTCATGGCGGGAAATGTACCTGCGGCTCCAGGATGCCAGAGAGCAGCGGCTGCGAGTCCTAACAAAGAACATCCGATCTGCACATGCCAATAAGCCCAAAGGTAATGGGCAGGGGCAGCCGGGGACGGCAGTGGGTACTGTGGTTGGCAGTAGGATCTTGGTAGGCCAGGCTGATGTGGGGCCACTAGGCCCCTAAATGTTTCTCACCTTCATGGGCAGGTCTTTCTTCTGCCATGGCCGGTGCTGCCTACAGTGGGATGGTCAGCGTTGGTAATTTTCTAGTATGGGGGTTCTTAAGGAACCTATAGAGTGTTTTGGTTTTGACTTCATTGTTGTTTTGGTGCCAGAGATCAAACACAGCCTTGTGCACACCATGTAGGTTCTTGTACAGCTGAGCTAAATCCCTGGTTTTTGTTTTCGTTTTTTGCTTTTGGTACTAGGGATCAAACTCATGACCTCGCACTTGCCAGGCAGGCGCTTATGTCACTGAGCTAAGTCCCTGGCGTAGTCTCACTATGTAGTGCAGGCTGGTCTTGAACTCGCTTAGCCCAAGATGGCCTGAACCATGGTGATCTTCCTGCCTCAGCTCCGAGGGCTGGGATTATAGGGATGGACCACCATGCCCAGCCCACAGATAGGTTATTAAGCATCTTGGCTCAAGAAGGCAGACTTCCAGAATTGTCATTTTCACTCATACTTGTTTGTAGCACATGGTTACATTTGCCACAGGAAGCTGAAACATACACGTATCACACCAATTCCTTGCACAGCTCCTTCTGCTCACTCCCTGTCCTGTTATCTCCTGGTAAGAAGACAGATACTGATCTCCATATCTGTCCACAGGCCGACAAGCAAAGATGGCCTTTGTCAACTCGGTGGCCAAGCCACCTCGTGATGTTCGGCGGAGACAGGAGAAGTTTGGGACAGGAGGAATAGCTGTCCATGACAAAGTCAAGTAAGACGCCTGCTCCTGCCTGACGTGTGCCTGCTCAGGGAGAGAGCTCCAGAAGCTGGGAGGGAGCCGGAGGGGCAGGAAGTGACCCTTTGGGAGGGTGACCACAGGCAGTGGGGAGCATGAGTTCTGGAGCCCACCCTTGCCCAGTGCAGCTCACACCACCTTGAGCCTTCGCTCAGGACTGCCGTTTGCAGTGCACCTGTGGGCACAGTGGCCAGTGAGTGATATGAGTGATGGTCCCTGCCTCTGCGGTTGGTATCAGAGCCAGTTCCATAGCGAACAGGTCTGGCTTGTGGAAATGTTTCCTTATGCCTTCCCTTCTCCCATTTAAACAAAAACCATTTCTCTGGGATGACTAGATTCTTCTAAACCACCTGAGTTTTCAGGTTTTTGTTTTTGTGGTTGAACCCAGGGCTTAGTGTGTGCTAGGTAGGCACCCTACCACTGAGCCCCACCCACAGCCCTCTCTACCTGAATGCTTTCGAAGTACAGACCTACCACTGTATCGTAAAGGTGAGCTCAGACCAGCATGCACCCAAAAAGGCGACATGGTTGAGCCACCACTAGCACCCAGGGGCTAAGTCCACTGCGGACAGAGCCACAGTGTGCCATCCTGCAGTGGGCAGCAAGCAGCTTTAGGCTGTTGGTGAAGAGGGCAGACTCCTCCCACTCACAGCTAAGCAGCTTTGCTCTGTTGTAGGATTAAGCCAGCCCCGTACACCACAGGGAGCAGCCACGGTCCTGCCAGCAGCAACAGCTTTAACTCCAGCCTGGAGGAGCCAGCCTACGATGGCCCCAGTACCAGCAGTGCCCACTTGACCCCAGTGGTCAGCAGTACTGTTTGCTATGATCCTAGGAAACCGGCTGTGAAGAGTGAGTAACCTAGCTTCCCGCTCGGATATTTGGAGCAAGTTTTTGAACTCCCTTTGCATGTCATTACCACTGTATTGCATTTTGTGTATTGGCAGTGGCGTCTGTAGGATGCCTGGCACCAGCTCCTCTACAGACCAGCCTCTCCCAGTGTGTCCATGCCACACGTGGGCATCTGTGAAGTGATGATCATAGTGAACCTTCATTTTGGCACTTTGTTTTTTCACTTAAATGTTTCTCTGGGCAGTAAGAGAAGCCTTATAGCTAAACGATACAGTCAGTCTTCCTGAGGCCTTGTGAGCTCATCATCTTAGCTTCTAGATAGTTTTGCTCTCTGTTTGGTATTTCGTATTTTATTAACTTTATTTGCATAGACTTGCCTCGGTGTCCTAAGGGGCGTCTAGCTTGAGAAACATCATTGCTGTACATCCCATGCAGTGGGGGTACCTAGATTGTCAGCTGCACTCCTGGGATCTGGGTGAGAGGCAGGCTGGCCCTCCTCTGCAGGGTTACAGAGCTCATCGCGGACCTGTGCTGCCCTTGGCAGAGGGGGGAGGCTGCCAGGTCTGGTGTGGTATTTGTGAGGCAGAGTTAAGCTGTGGCGACCTTAGCCTTCAGAGTCAGCTCCAGGCCTGCCGTTCGCAGTGCACCTGTGGGCACGGTGGCCAGTCTGCCTGAGCTGTGGCACAGGTGGCTGGAACTGGGCATCGTGATGGTTGGCGTCTGACTGGACCCCTCCCCAAGTATCCACTGAGTGCTGTTGCTGTTCTGCAGCGTGTCCATTGGCCTCACGTACAGCCAAGTGCAGATTCTGGCTGTTACCCACTGTGGGTGTGTCTGAGCATCTCCCACCTGACATGACTGCTGTGTTTCTCTCTACAGAAATTGCCCCGATGATGGCCAAGACGATTAAAGCCTTCAAGAATAGATTCTCCAGGCGATAAACGGAGGCCTTGCCTGGAGATGGAATTTGGGAGACAGGAAAACAGGGACAGTGGGGGCTGGGGAGTGAGCCCTCCAAAGGAGACCGGAGTCTTTGCTTTGTGCAGCCCTTTGGCTCTGAGTCCTGCACATGTGCAGGCGTTGGCCCCGTGTGCCACAGCCCCGCGCCCTGACCGGAGCACACTTCAGAATTCTGAAGACGATGTGAAGCCTCAGTCTCACTGAGGATTTTAAGGTCAATGATACTTTTGTTGCTAATTAGAATCTTTGTAAACTATAAGACATAGTTTTAATTAATAAATATTGCCCCCAGATTGTATTTATATCCCCCCCAGGGTTTTGCAGGGGGGTTTGTTGTTGCGTCCTTTACCACACGTTTAGCCTTTTCTTTTCGAGATCCTTTATCGAAGTTAGATGAAAGCCATTGCCCACCCCAGGTTGCTCTCTGGAGTGGATTCGGTCCAGAGGGAGGACTGGGCAGCCCTGCGCCCCACGTGGTACTCGCCACACACAGGGCCAGGAGGGAGTGCCAGCCCGTCTTCGAGGGGAGCCTGGCACGGAGACAGCAGTGTTTGGGGGCTCCTAGTCCTGAGCCCCTACTCAAGTGTCGCTCCAAGTTCTATAGAGGTGCCTCTTTCTACCCACTCAGTTGTATTTATAAGGGAGGTTCTCTGTAAAGTCTACAGCCCTTCCTCCTCTTCTTTGTAAGTCTCTGTTTTCTTTATTTTAAATAAGGCTCACTAGAGGACACAGCCTGGAGAGATTAATTTGCACAGAATCAGCAATTTTATAATTTCCAGTTTCCGATTCAAATTTTAGATGAGCTTCCCCCAACTCCCTGTGCCTCAGCACAGGAAAACAAAACAAAAACTCCACAGACATGGCAGGGTTTTCCTGAAGCCTGGAACGTGGCTTTGGAGTTAAAAACCCAGCACTTTAATCTTGTTCCCTGTGAACTGCCATCAGAAGTGAATGGCTTTCAAGGTTGCAGTGCTCTGTTGGAAATTGCTTTTGTTTTTGCCTGTTGTTTGAAAAGTCGGGTCACGTGACTAGAAGAGCATAGCAGTGGTCTGTGTCTGGCAGAGACCTGTGCAGCTCTAGCCAGCACTGGGGAAGGAGCCGCCTAGGAAACTGTCTGAGCTTGGCAGGGGGCACCGCAGGTGTACCCGTCCATCAAGTCTGGGAGAGGAGGCTCTTGATTTCCGCTTGACACAGAAGTCGCAGGGCAATGTCCACTCCTTCCTGGCTGTCGAAAAACATGGACCTAATAGGAACCGCTTGGTGGTGGCCAAGTTGCTAGCAAGGTGGATGTAGTTGTTAAGACTTTGAAGTGTGCAGCCGTAGAAGCCTGTAGCACGCAGACTGAGGCTATAGATGGCTAGTGTGACAGCGGCCTGCTGAACCTGGCCAGGCGTCCCCTCCATGAGCTCTCCTGAGGCCTAGGATCTGGAGCCCACCGTATTCACAGTCATGGAGTGCTGGGCCTGGCTACCCGTGAAGATTCCATGGCCCCGCAGGCTGTGCTTCCTCAGAGACCGTTGCTGTGCAGGTGCCTGTTGCAGTGGGACAGAGGATTGCTGTGTTTGAATTTGTCGTATCTATGAATTGGGTAAAGCATCCTTTCTCTTGATGAGGCTTGTTTTACCCCATCCCGTAGCCCAGCCCCCGACATCTAACATTAGAAAGCCTCTTACCTGAAACTAAATGAACTTTTGGGTCAGGCCCCAGGCACCTGCTGCCTGGAATGGCTTCCTCTAGGTGTCTGTCACCTTGATTTGTCTCCGATGCTTTGCCATTGAACCAGTTTTTCCTACTTCAGGTTCAGTTGTGTACGATTTAAATCCCCTTACTAGGAGTCTTTTAAGTGGAAAAGGAAGAAAGGACACAAATTTTTGTCCGTCCCAAGGTCAGTATCCACTTCTGGCACACACAGATTTCCGAAGAACCCTGCTGGCCTAGAGCCGGCTCTCCCGTCTCCTGTGTCCGCGCCGCGGCTGGCTTGGTGAGAAGAGCGGGGCTGAGCACTGAGCACTGAGCACTGAGCCCTGGGGCTGGCGGCGCCACCAGCGCAGCGCAGGCCACGCGGACGGAGCCTTGGTCTCGGTCGTGAAGCCTCGTGTAACCTTTTTTCTGTGCTACACTACACCTGGATCACCAAATGACAGATCAGCCCTTGTGACCCTCGGTGTGGCGGGCGGGCTCTTTGGGGCTTTCTCCCTTCCTCAGGGCGGGAGGGGAAGGGGCAAGGTGTTTTCCTGCTCTTCATTTGTATTTTGGTCCCAAAATGTAAATACAATTTTCTATGTTACTTTTTTGTGGTAACTACCGAGATGAATATTTTAATTAGATAAGTTATACAAAAACAAAAATTCCATGTCTAAATAAAAAACCAAAAAAACCTCCATCTGTATTTTGCTTTTTGTGTCAGGGAACAGAGTTGGTCACAAGATACCTGTTTCCTGGGCTGAGGCAGGGACCCTAGTCCGGGGCTGGGCCTTGACGGGTATTTGGTTTCTGTTGGTAGCGCAGCAGGACTTGGAAGGGGTGTTTCAGGGGTAGGGAACACCAGAGCAGGACTAAGCTGTAAGAGCACTTGTTGCAGACAGGCTGTGTCCCTTGGGACATTCTGAAGCCTGCGGTGAGCTGGCGCCCGCACAGAACAGGAACCGCGGCTCCAGGTGGAACCACACGGCCAGAGCCACGCACCCGCTCCATGGCTGGTGTTGTCAGAGTTTCTGCCTCCCTGATTCCAGTCTTGCCAGGGTGCAGGGCCCCGTACGGCTGTAAAGAATGTAAAGTGTGCGGCTGGGGATTTAGCTCAGCGGCATAAGCAGGCAGTTGTGAGTTCGATCCCCGGTACCGATAAAAAGGAAAAAGACAAAAAAAAAAAAAAAAAAAAGAATGTAAAGTGTGTCAAGCTGGGGATTTAGCTCAGTGGCCCAAGTGCCTGCCTGGCAAGTGTGAGGCGGTGAGTTTGATCCCCGGTGCCAAAAAAGTAATCAGATGATTACCAGCCGAGGACTGGACTTGAGACCCTGCATACATGAAGTGGGTTGGCTCTTAGTTGGGTCTCACAACCACAGACAGCTACCTGATGGACGTCTCCCTCATCTCCTAAAGGATATCTTTATACATGGTGTGGACTTAGTTTCCTCTGTGTGTGTGTGTGTGGTACTGACAATTGACTTGAGGGCCCTTATACTGACCTGTGTCCTTCCAAACTCCCCCCACCTTTTTTTAAAAGACAGGGTCTCAGTAAATTGCCCAAGCTGGCTGCAAAAATGGGATCCTCCTGTTTTAGTTGGCAGAGCTGCTGGGATTATGGGCATGTTCCACCATGCTGGCAGTTTTCACAATTCCTTACTAAAGAATTTAGTTCTCACTTAGAAAAATGGCTACGCATCAAAGTTAACTGTAGAACACTGGCTGATGGATAACTGTACCTGGGTTTTGTTTTTTTGTTTGTAGACAAGGTCTCTCTCTGTAGTTTAGGCTGGCCTTGAACTTGGCTATGTAGCCTAGCCTAGGCTGACTTCAAACTCACGGCCATCCTCCTGCCTCAGCCTCCAAGGGCTAGGATTAGACATACGTGTCAGCATGCCTGGTGGTGTATCTGGAGTTGTTAAATTAGTTCTTGGTTCTTTATTCATTAATTCAACATCTGCTGAGCCAGAACCTGTATTGGACCCTGGGAAACTCAGGCCCTGGCACTGGAATCTGGGAGGGGTAACTAGCAGGGGCTAGTTACCCACCTAGTAGTTGCCAGTCAGCATCCTGCCTTGGTCACACCGTCTTAGTTACAACAAAGATCCTGTGAGGCAGGCGGTGAGAGCCCCATTGAAAACGTGAGGAAACTGAGGCAGAGGAGATGAGGGGATTGAGATTCAGCGAGCTGGAGTGCTGTGTGTTGGCCCGACTCCAAAGCAATGCCCTCAGCCATTTACCATCTTAAACACACAGAAGGTGGTACCGCAGCGCTTGGCAGTTGGTCCCAGGAGATGTGACCAGTACCAAAAAGGACAAACCCCACACAAATCTGTAGGGTGCAAAGGGCTGCAAAGCCAGGTGTGGCAGTGCATGCCTGTAATCCCAGCATTCAGGAGGCTGAGGCAGGGGAATCACTGGCTTCAGGGTAGCTTGAGCTACGGAGTGAGACCCTGTCTCAAAAAAACAAAACAAAACAGTGATTCCCAAGGCAGTCAACAAGCTCTGGCTTGCTCTCTGAGGACCAGATGATGAGTCCTGGGAGTACCAAGTCTGATGAGTTTCAAAGCAGTTAGTACCAGGGGGCGACTATACCAGTTAGGCTTCAGAAGCAGAGCCAACCTCCAGTGCAAAGGTGCCTTGGCCAAGGCCACCTTCACCGATGAAAACAGTTTCCTCTGTCCGCCAGGTGTAACTGATGCTTGGCAGAAGCGTGACCCCGATGAGGGATTTGTCACTGACAGGTGCCCTCATCACAGCGTTCCTCATCACCTGGAGTCTCCCTGGTTATTTGACTGAATGGAGACAAACACACTGTCACAGTCTGTTTTCAGAGGCCCTGGATCTGTGTGTGTGCACACACGCATATGTGTGTATCTGTGTGCACTACTAGAGACAAGCCAGGGCTTCACCCTGGGCTATATCACCTGTCCACTCCCCCCTTTTAGTAAGACCTTGTTTCAAAAAACTGTTTTTGTTTGTTTTGTTTGACACAGGTCTTTTTGTAGTACAGGCTGGCCTGGAACTCATCTATATAGCCAGGGTGGCAGGGAACTGGTGGCAATCCTCCTACCTCAGCCTCCCAAATGTCAAAAGTTTTTTTAAAAGGGCTACAGATGTAGCTCACTGCAAATACTCTGGGTTCAATGGCTGGTACTGCTAAAATTTTTTTAAATCTTAAAGGAGAAAAATTTCAAAAAAGAGGGTAACTGGTTAATATATTGCATATTGTTATATTTAAATTAGTTACTCAGAGAACATGATAACAGCATTTAATTGTCCAGAAAATATTAACACAAACCTTTTTTTACAAACCAAGAGAAATTAGTAGTGTGACTCTTAATACACACACACACACACAATTTCTTTCAACTTCTCATCCTAGGGAGATAATACAATGTTTACACATGTGAGTCTGATTCATTTCACTTACCGAGTTCCATCCATCTACCTACAGAAGCCTCAAGTTTGTTTGGTTTTTTTTTTTGGGTACGGGGATTGAACTCATGACCCCGTGCTTGCAAGGCAGGTACTTATGCTGCTGAGCTAAATCCCCAGCCCCAGAGTTTAGGGCTGAGTAGTACTCCCATGTATTAAAATATCACATCTTTCCAAAAAAATTTGAATAGTTAATCTGTATTTCTCAAGCATGCTTTTTGGGCCTGGGGTGCCGGAAAATACATTAAATAAAACCGAAGGATTATGGACTGAATGTTTTACCCATTCCACATTTCTTTTCAGGACTGGGGATTGAACTCATGTGTTTCAACTAAGCCAATCTTTTCATTTTATTTTGAGACAAGGTCTTGCTAAATTGCCCAGGCTGGGCTCACACTTGTGATCTTCCATGCCTGGCTCTCTTTCCCTCAATGCTTATGCTGCAATTCGGGGGCCAGTGTGAGGGTCTTAGGAGGGAATTCCGTCCTGGTAGGAAGGCAAGCTCCAGGTTGCCCACAGCGCAAGGGAGTGATGAGCCGACGGCCACCCCCAGAGGCAGAAGTGCCCTGGACTTGCAGCTCTGGAACCCTAGGAAACAAGTGTTTGTTGCTTGAGTCACTGCTCTGTGCTAATCTGTTGTAGCCATCTGAATGAAGACACCAAGTGATTCTCATGACAATGGCTGGGGGCAACAGTATGCTCCTGTACTTCCGGCTACTCGGGAAACTGAGGCAGGAGGATCACTGGAGCCCTAGCATTCAAGGGCAGCCTGGACAACACGGTAAAACTCTCAAAAACAAAACATTGTTCTTAGAAGTCCAAGGCATAAAAAAAAATGAATACTGGCTCTCGCCAGCTGGACCATGGGTCAGCGCTATGAAGCCTGCATGTGTTTTCGCACGCTTCTGTGTTCCGCATTCTGTGTCACTGGCTACGACAGACATGAGCTCTACCTTCATGCAGCTATCATCTAAAGAACTGCATAAATAATTGTTTAAAATAATTTTCAAATTGGGCAAGGTGGCTCACATCTGTAATTCCAGCACTCAGGAGACCGAGGCCAGAAGATCACTGTGAGTTGAGGCCAGCCTGGGCTGCATAGTGAGTTCCTGTCTCAAAAATCCAACAAACAAAAACAAAAAAGCTAAATCAACAAAACCCAAAGGAAGCTCACAAGCTAAGAACTGCTCTGAGGTCAGTGAGTCCTTCCTAATAACTGGGACCTCAGCCCAAACAGTTAGTGCAGCATTGCTGGTTTTGGAGCAGATCTCACTGTTTTTGGCCTCCACCGTAGGCCCCAACAACCACCAAAATGCAGACTTTATCTAGTTTCTTCTTACCTCAGGGCTTTGGCAGGACTCAGGGTCAATGCTGGGAACAGAAGGAAAACGACAGACATAGCCTGATTGCCCCTGGGTACAGGGCAGGGCCCAGTACTGCCACATTTTCCCATATTTTACAGAAAAGGCAGGCGTCTAGCCTTCTGCCAGTTTTCCCAGTTTTTAAAATCCTGTGCCACAACTATATGAAAAATATCAGAAAACCTATGTGCAGCTGACAATTGTCTAGCAAATGCAACCTCCCAGAAGTGATCCCTGCAGGACTGGCAAATGTAAAGGGCCTAAGTAGAGTCTCACACTAAGAAAACTCTGGGTCCGAGGAGGGCTTGGGGTGGGGGGGATTTCTTTCAACTTTCACAGATCAGGCAATCCCAACGCCACCTACCATCCCAAAGCGTAGAAAGGAAGACACTGTGAAAGCCCCTGTGATGGTGACACTGAATCAGCATAAACTATAGACCAATCTGACTTAGAAATATTGATGTGATTATTTTCCATATTAGAACCTCTCAGCATATTAAAACAAACCAAAAAATTTGAGTGGGTGGGGTTGGGGATTTAGCTCAGCGGCATAAGTGTCTGCCTTGCAAGTAGGCAGTTGTGAGTTCGATTCCTGGTACTGATAAAAATGGAAAAAAAAAATTTGAGTGGATGGTGGTACACATCTATAATCTCAGCCCTCTGGGAGACTGAGGCAGGAGGATTATAAATTTGAGTCCAGGTTGGGAAATTTAGTGAGAGCCTTGTTTCAAAGTTTAGAGGGGCAGGGATTTAGCTCAGCAGCAGCCCTGGTACCAAAAACAAAACCAAAAATAAAACCAAAAGGAAAGAAGTCTTAGCTGGGTGTGGTGTCACACTCCTGTAATCCCAGCACTCAGGGAGGCTGAGGCAGGTGGATTGTTGGCCAGGGCCAGCCTGAACCTCATAGCAAGACTCTGTCTCAAAAAGACAAAAAAAAAAAGTTTAAAAACAGAAAACATTAAACAAACAAACAAACAAGAAACACATTATGGCCATGTGGTGGGTTGTAACCCCCAGCTGAACTGCATCAGCGTGGTGCTGGGTATGGAAGGCCCACCTGAGGATTGTCGCCAGCAACATGAAAAAGAAAACTGGAGAGGAAAAGTAGCATTGTTGGGTCTCCCATTGCTGTTGGTTCTCCTCGAGGAGCTTGTCAAGTTTCTTTCCTGATTTGAGTTTGGCTGTTATCGTCAGAGGAGCTCAGGACCTCATGGTCGCTGAGAATGGCTGTGGTATTTTTCAGGGAAGCCCTGGTCCTTGTTTTGAGTTTGCTTCTTGGCTCCAGTGCAGATCCCTCAGCCTGCTGGCACAGATCCTTCATCCTGCTGGCGCTGAGTTTCTGGCTCCCACCACTGACCTTCGGGCCTTCCCAGCACAGATCTGTGAAACAGACTTGCATGAGTCACTGCTGTGGGCTCCAGGCCTCCAGTTGGATTTGTGGGGAGCATTGTCATGGGCTCTAGGTCTTTAACTGGACTCATGCAGGACATTGCCAAGGGATCCAGGTCCCCAGTTAGATTCTTTGGGTCTCTAGTGTGTGGACAGATTTCCTACACTTTTTTTGTATTTGACTCTTTGGGTGACTGTCATAAAATAATATTATAAATTATGTGTCCTGTATTAAATTGTTCCCCTTGTAAGCCCTGACAACAACAGGCCAGCACCTCTGGTGTCCACAGTGTGGAGATGCTGTTATGTGAAACATACCTCCCACTAACCTTGTTAAGATAATGGCACATTTACCCTACCAGACGTGAACTGAGGGGAAAAAATAGATCTTAACCAAATGGGGTTTATTTAGAACTGGCAGGAGGACAATCCGACTGCTAGCACAGGTGAGAGCAGGTGTGCTCAATAAGACATGACTGTGTCCCCAACTGGGCACCGGGAAAGGTCTGCAGGCATTTTTGATTGTTACTGGCATGGGGTGCTGGAGTATTTAGTGGGCAGAGGCCAGGACTGTTCACAAACATTCACAGACAATCCACCAAACAGAATTACTGGGCCTGGAGTGTGAACAGTCATGGGTTGAGAACCCCTGGCTTGGCCACACTATAGTACCAAGGCCCAAGAACCGAGGGGCGTGGAACGACGGTTTCCTACCTGTGCACTGTTGGCCTACATACATCTCATCTGTGTCATCCTCCAGCAGAGGTACAGACTAAAGGAAGCATCATCTCTATGCTGTAGCTCTCCAGGCAGAGTTAGGGTGCAGCTCAGTAGTGTAACACTCACCTCGCACGTGCAAAGCCCTGGGTTGCATCCCCAGCACCTCAAAATACAAAATCCAGGCAAGCTGAGAAGACTGCCCCCGCCCAGAAGGGCCTCCTAGCCCACTGTAGGCCACACCTAAATTCAAGGGGCAAGGGAAGATGATCCAACCACGTGCCTGGACACAGAAAACTGGAAATATACACGCGTGGCACCAAACTCCAAAGGCAAAACCGCAACCTGGGTCTAGGTAGCTCACAAAGCCAGCAAAGGGCACAGACTCTACAGAGTCAGATTCTCTCTCATTTTTAAATTTTGTAGTGATGGAAATTAAACCCAAGGCCTCGCACATGCCAGGCAAGTACTCTACCACTGAGCTACAGCCTCAGCCCAGCCAACCTCACTCTGTTTCTTCCTCTAAAAGTGAGACATCTCCAACCTTGCATCATGACCCCATGGCAGTTTGATGTGTTAAAATACACAGAGTGCTTACAGCAGTACCTAGCATGTAAAAAGAGCTGCAGGCATTCTCAGGGACACCTGTAATCTCAGCACTCGGGAGGCTGAGGCAAGAAGATCACTGTGAGTTTTAGGCCAGCTTGGGATACATAGTGTGTTCAAAGCCAGCCTGCACTAAATAGTGAGACCCTGTTTCAAAAAACAAACAAACAAACAAACAAACAAATCTGAGACTCTGAGGACAACAGCACGCCCAAGGTAATACAGCTGTTAAGTGCACCACGACGGTTCAGGTATCAGCCTGGCACAGAGTAAGTAATAAATGGTACTGAAGGAGCTGGGGATTTAGCTCAGCGGTATAAGCACCTGCCTTGCCAGCAGGCGGTCGTGAGTTTGATCCCTGGTACCGATTAAGAAAAAAAAATGGTACTGATATTTGCAAGAGGTTCAGGATGGTTAAAAACATGGCCTGGGGGAGCTGAACGGTCAGGATTTAAGTCAGGTTTCCTGCTAACTGCTTGTGTGCTTCTGGGCAGGTTCCTCGGCTTCTCTGCACCCCAGTTTTATGATCTATAAAATGGGGATAATGCCTTCTGTGTTTATCTGTTTTTATTACTTATACCCTTATTTTGCATTCAAGGAAGCATAAAACTGGTTCCAGTTCCTCTCTCCCAGGAAAGCTGAGACAGAAGAGAGGGAAAGAAGAAGACAAATTAAGCAGTATGGGAGCCATGACATTGTTCAGAGAAGGAAGCAGGAATGGCCAAAAGAAAACAACTTAGAAAGTTTCCCTACCTGCCCCCAGATCGTATAGTGCTAATTTCGGTGAGAATTCCCATCTGTCCTCTTGCAAGACAGGAGCCCAATACCAAGAACAGTAGAGTGGCTCCGGGACACAGCTGAGCCACCCGCACCCCTGCCAGTTCTTCCCAAACTGAGCCCCGTTAGCAACTGCAGTTTCCTATTCAACCAGACAGGGGCGCTGCTCTGACAGTCCTGCCCGGGCAATAGTGAAAGTAGCAGCCTTTACCTAAGCTCCAGGTTGTGGCAAACACATTTCAAGGCTTGTCTCATTCTTCCATCACAATAAAGCTGTAAGTTAAGCACTTTTATTATTCCCATTTTAAAGATGACGAATCTGAGGCCTAGAGGAGGTAAGCAACTGGCCTAGTAGCCACAGGTACTATCGGGGCAGGCTAGGGCTCAGGTAGAAGCAGACTTCACAAAGTAAAGTGAATCAATGGTTAAAAAATACAGTCTGTTTTTTGTGACTGTGATAAATAACCCTTCACAAGGACCTGGAAGAGGGCATTTCCATTTCTGGGCCTCAGAGCTCTGCATGAGGTGGTAGAGAGGGCAGGTAGGACCCCCAGTCCCTTTCTCTTCAGATCGCTAAATCTGGGTGCCTCATTGGGGGTCTCGTACACATGTTTGTTCCCTCCCTGTGCGCTCACATTCTGTGCTAGGGGCTCCACACTGAAAGGGTCCAGCAGGCATCCCACCCAATAATTGACAAAGAAGCCACATTTCACATTCTCATGCTTCAGAATGCCAGGCACCGAGAGAGCTTGGTATGGTGCTGGGACTCCTATAATCGGGAATCATCTGGGCATGGGGGTGCACACCTGAAACTCCAGCACTGGGCAGGCTGAGGCAGAAGGATTGCTGAGTTTGAGGCCAGCCTGGGCTACATAATGAGCTCCAGGCCAGCCTAAACTACACAGTGACACTCTGTCTCAAAAGACAACAGGCCAGTTGTGGTGGCATACACCTATAATCCCAGCACTTTGGAGGCTGACGCAGGAGGATCACTGGGAGTTTTAGGCCAGCCTGGGAAACCTAGTGAGTTTAAGATCAGCCTGGACTACAGTGTGAGACCCTGTCTCAAAAAACCAAAATTGAAGCAAAAAGAACTTTTTTTCAGTGGTAGAGATGGAACCCAGGGCCTCATGCATGCTAGGCAAGTACTCTACCACTAAGCCCTATACTTATGGACTTATATTTCTCCCCTCCCCCCTTTTTTTGTGGTACTAGGGATTAAATCCAAGGCTTTCAAACTGACCTATATCTTCAGCCCCTCTTTTTTTGTTGTTGTTGGGTTTTTTTTTTTTTTGTCTTTTTCTTTTTTTATCCATACCAGGGATCGAACTCACGACTGCCTGCTTGTAAAGCAGGCGCTTATGCCGTTGAGCTAAATCCCCAGCCCGGTTGTTGGTTTTTTGAGACAAGGTCTCATTATGTAGCCCAGGCTGGCCTTGAACTCATGGTGTGATCCTCCTGCCTCAGCCTTCTGAGTGCTGGGATTACAGGTGTGTGCCACCATGCCCAGTTTCTCAAAGAATTTTATAGTAAAGATCACAGGGCAAGGAAGCAAGGCCTCCTGTCAACAACCTGCATAAACTTATCCCCTTGTGAGTGTGCTCTTTGGAGGCTACTCAAGCCTTTAGATGACTTCAGGCTCTTGAGTGACCCCTAGCTAGAACCACCCAGCTAAGCTACTTCCAAATTAATGACTTGCAGAAATTGAGATAATAACCGTTCATTGTTGTTTTATGCCATTAAATTGAGAAATAATTTGTTATGCAACAAAAGAAAACTAACATAGGTGTATGTAAGCAGGAAGGGGGAAGAAGCCATGGTATTTTGTAATTTCTCTAATCATGAGTGAAGTCTGTCTCTCCATCTTTCAATTTAGATTCAGCCATGAAATTTGTTCTGGCTCATGCAACATTACAGAACAATCATAAGATGAGATTTGCCTTAGCACCCTGGAGATCTCAGTGGAGTCAAAGGGAAAGCAAAGTAAGTTTGCAGGCTTGCTGACCCCATTGTGGAAAAAGAATTTTCAGGATTTTCCTCACTGGAGGCAAGAGAAGGGTTTACTAGAATAGAGATTTAGGATGCACCCAGCAGTGGGGTGCAGGTGCTCGGAGACATAAGGCACATTACAGGTTGGAACTGAAACCAATTGTGCCTTTCTTCTTGACAAAATGTCGTGCCCCCCATCATTAGCCCACACTACAGATAAACCTTAGGAATGATGTGTTCCCCCTCAGTTCTTCAAGCTGCCACATGGGACGTTTAGGGGGAGCCAGGATTAACCCAGTCTGAAGTGGTCCTGCTCCCGGAGCAACAATACTTGAGTGAAAAAGGACAGGGAGGTTCCTGGATGTATATCATCTTTTCTTGGGACAGCTCTGACTAAAGACTCAGATTTCTAAATAAAAATCTAAGGCAGAATCAGAAGGCACTAAAGACAGAGCATCTCAGTTATTGCACGTTCCTGAAGCAGAGGAACATGACAAAGGTCCAGGAGTCACTGACACTGAAGAATGTGGCTGTGAGATCCACCTGGGGGGAGTGGCAGCTCCTTGATCCTTCTCAGAAGGGCCTGTGCCAGGATGTGATGCTGGGAAACCACAGCAGCCTGGCGTCAGAGGTGTTCCAAACCAGCAGGCCAGATGCCCTCTGCACGTTGGAATGAGGAAAGCCACTGTGGACATTAAAAGATGAAATCCACAGTCAAATCCATCTGGAAATTGAGAAAGCTGACAACTGTCTGCAGCAGCAACTGCAAAACCAAAAAAGGCCAAAGAGGATGGAACAATGCTATAAACAGAATGCACTTCAGAGGTGCAAATGTCATTTTCCTTTAAGGCCAAATCATGATATGCTTGATCTATAAGGAAAGATTTTGAAACCATATTTAG